CAGTTTTTCTCTGGAAGGCTTTAAAATTGTCTCTTTATGCCAGTATAATGAAATTTCACAGTGACTTGACTTGTGTAGTTTTTTAAAAATTTACTTTGATGGAGACTTTCAATCTGGAAATTTATGTTATTATTTTCTTAGAAATTTTCTTGTATTAGTGATTTCTTTCTGTTTTCTCTGATCTCTTAATAGTTGGATATAATTTAATTTTAATTGATTTTCTTTTTTTCATATTTTTCCCATTTTTTTTTTATCCTTTGGACCTTTTGTTCTACTTTCAGGAGATTCAGCTATATAGTATGAATTTCTAACCTGCACTGAATCTCCATACTGATTGTTTTAGCTAACAATATAATATGAATATTAATACATTTTGCTACATTATTTCAATGCACTTCATTTCTTTAACTAATAGATAGCATTAACAGAGTACCCTGATTTGTTGAGGATAGTTTCAGTTTAGCCTCTTGTCCTCATGACCATTTCAATTATCTTCCTTTTAGTCTCAAAAGTGTCCTGTTTTGCGAGAGAAATTATATAGTAACACAATTTACTGAGTACTTAGTATATACCAAGAGGTGTTCTAAGTGCTGCATATATAACAACACATCTATACAATAACCATCGTATTACAGATTTGGAAACTGAGGCATAAATAACTTGTCCAAGGTATCACAGTTAATAAGTAGGAAAGCTTGGACTTGAACTCAGGAAGTCTGTCCTCAGAGCTCTTGCTGTTAACCGCTGTGTAGATAGGGCTGTATAAATGCTTACAATCCCCTATTTGGGGGATATGAGGTTATTTCTGACTTTGTATTACTGCAGACACTGTTGGGCTTCCTTTTCGCTAAGCCTTTGTGCATCTCCTGTATTACAACCTTGGGAAAGATAAATTCCTACTGAAACCAGCTTTCCTGACTCAGCACTTTTCCAACTGTGCCATGCTGTGCACCTCTTGAGGACGGTGCTCACTAACAAATCCTATGACTACGAAAAGTCAGGCAAGAAAGCAGATTGGGAGAGCAAACATCTGAAAAAAGCTATGTTTCTGTAACTCTCAAGTAAATGAAAAGTTGGGGGAGGCCGTAGTTAATTCTGATCTTTTAAAACCCCTGTTGCCCTTCTCTTCCATGGCTGACGTCCAGTTTGATTGTCCTTACCTTGGAGTTTACAGGCTTCTTGACATCCCCAACCCCCATCTATTGACAATGGCCGACCATAGGAACTTGAAATATTTCTTAAGACATTCTTTTTAAGACAAATCTGTAAATCGGCAAATAAGTGGCAAATATCTCAAGGCCCCAGGTGGCAAAGAGGCAACTTTATCGTGACATTAGGTCAGAGACATGTCAGCAGCTCCTTTATGGAATGACGTCTGTGTGTGACTAATTCTGTTGATTTCATAATCTCAGTAACTCTTTCACTTGCATGGATAAAATGTTCACCCAAGTCAGCAGCCAGAAGTTTTCCTAAAACATTCTACTTAAAGCCAGCTGAAATCTTTCTCAGGAGTCCTCATGACTTGAATTCCTTCCAGCTTCTCCAGCCTGAACAATACCAATTTGTGCTGTTGTGATAAGAAGAACTAGAATTTGCAAATATGTATGGAGTGCAAATATGCATTGAGTGTCCCGTGTATGCCAAGCACTGTGTTAAATGTAAAGAAAAGAAAAATAAAACAAGATACGTCCATGCCCCACAATTTTCGGTAATGGTGTATAGCTTCTACAGGATTCACTCCTTAAAACAAAACAAAAAGGCCTGTTTTCTTATGACCTCTTTTATTTTGGCTGTGAAACCAGTTCTTCCATTTCCTATTTATGCTTTTTATTCTTTTTGTTGAAATTAAAAATATTGTATGTATATATTAGAAAACACCCAATTACAAACAGAGGAGGACTATATGAAAATGAGTTAATCATTGGGTCACATATTTAGAGAAACTTAATATTTAAAACAATAGTGTTTCAACTCAGAAGAAAAAAAAAGTTAAACCACACCCAGTTACTGCAATCATTCTCCGTCAACGTACATTGTATTGCAAGCTTCTGTTCACATCAATCTGTCCTGAAAGTCTGTGAGCTACTTGAGAGTCAGGCCTCTGCTTATTAATTTTTTAAATTCTGAGCACCTGGCAAACAGCAGGTTTTCATTTTATGTTTGTTGAAGTATATCTTTATTGGTCTTTAAGAGGCAATAAACTATGTAAAAACACCATTGATTTAATAACAGCTTTACGTGGGAAGAAGAAAAGAGGCACCACATTTGTACACTACATTTGTAAACAACTATTATAAAACATATCCTGATTTCAAGAAAGTTAAAATTTTGAAAGTACGTCTCAGAATGGAGGAAATCCTGTAATTGTCCTTCTAATCTCAAAAACACAGTGGACTCTTGCCTCCATTATGTCACCAGATAAAAATTCTTTAGCGTTGGTTGTATTCACTCAAATCACCCTACTCTTCCTATGGTGCTTTTTCTGAGACCACTGATAACTTTCAAATATTTGTCTGTTATTGTTTTCTTGGATTTCCATTCCCTTGTATTAAACCCTCCTCTCTGAAATGCTTCAATGACTTTGACAGCTTTCTGTTGCCCTAACTTTAGGCTCCTTTTCTTCTCCAGTGGCTCTCAATTCATCTTGTCCTCAATGTGGGCAGCCCCCGAGGCTCACTCCCAATCTTTTCTCAGTCTTCACTAGTGGCACTAAGCCCTGGCTGTACATCAGAATTACTTGGAGAGTGATCCCTTTAAAAATGTCCAAGCCCAGATCCTATCCCAGATCAAATCAGTCAACTTGGGCTGACATGTTAGGTCTGTGACCCTCGGTCATGTAACTTAGCCTCTGAAATTCAATTTCTTCACCTGTAAAATTAAGATAATGTTAAAATCTACTTCACTGCATTGCTGAATACATTCTTACTTCCCATCATTACAGCAAATGCCATCTCTTCTTTTTTCCATTTATTTAAAGCTTATGTTCCTTTGAAAGTTCAAGTCAAATCCTTTCTCCTTCCCACAGCATTCTATAATCACAACTTATTTTGGCTCATTTGCAAAGCACACGGAAAATTCAAGATGGGCCTGTTAAAAATGGAAGTCTCCTAGCTGACCTTCCTACGACCGTTCATGTCACCTTTCAATCCATTCTCCTCCACACAGCACTCCAACATTCCAGAGTGATCTTACAAAAAAAAATTTAGATCATGTTGCTTTTAATTTTGAATCTTCAACTCTTTTTCCTAGATTGGTAGATTAAGCACTAACCTTGCCCAGGAAAGAGATGGCCTTCAGTTGCACTTAGAGAACACAAGGGAGCCGGGCACACCTGGGCCTGTCTTAGTCAGCATCCTATCCAAAAGCATCTTCCTAGCCCATGCTGGGATAGGAAGACTTGTGAGCAGTTGGATGTGCTTAACGTCTCTAGAGGGCTATAGCATTTAGCTTATTGACACCTGACTAGTTAGAAATAGGACCTGAGGGAGAGACTACAGAGTCATCGATACGCTAAAAAAGAAAATGTTTAACTTTCCTAGTTATAATTGTCTTCATTATTAATTTGTCGCTCAACATATGCAAATTGGTTTTGTTATTTTTCTTCATATATATCTATATACACAAAATCTTACAGTCAAACCACAATCCTCTCAGTACAAACTGTTTTTCATAAATGTTTTGCATCCTCATGACCTGGTACAATCTATATCATATTCCCTAGAAGTTAATGTAGTCAATATTCTTTTATTCAAGGGAAATGTTCCAAGCTTCAATATATCCAGATACTTTCTAACAAGTCTTTTATATAATAAACACAGCAAACTTTCACATTTATATCACAAGTGCTTGTTAAACTTTCTTTGCTTTTTAGTGGCCTTTAATGTTGTTTTTTGTTGTTGTTGTTTTTTGCTTGGCATGTTTGATAGGACATTTGTAAATAGATATCTGCAATGTTTTCTGAACAAATGAAGTGGAATATTTTAATGAGAACATGTGCTTTGCATGCAGTACCTTTAATTATTTCTCTATGCCTTTAAACATGTGATATGCTTTATATATAAGTTATAAAAATTATTTCTCTATGCCTTTAAACATGTGATATGCTTTATATATATGTTATAAAAATTACCCAGTGAGATCTTTTGTTGTCCTGGGACTGTGTTGTAAGAACTAATAGACTTTTGACATGGGATTGAGGGCTTGTCTCTTTTGGGTGCAGTTTATGTTGTTGTGCCATAGCAGAAAGAGACTAAAACCCATTAACTTTGCACATGTTAATGCTGTATCCTTCAGCAGTTAAAAATGAGGTGAAATAGGCTTCAGAAAACCTTACCTCCAAAAATCTAAGGATAACAAAGACCTTATTGAATCTGCAGTCTTGTAAGAGCAATGCCAATTGATCCTTCCCCTTTTAGGAATCTGAATTATATGTTACATCTAGATGACAAGCCTAGATATGTTCTTTTCCTGTAATTTAACATACCTTGAGCTAGACATGTTTAATTTAGGTTAAAGGCTGCCTTAAAATAGCATGAATTCAAGCTATTGTGTGACTTCAGTAGGATTACATTTATTAACCAAGAGTATCCATTATGATGGTTTCTAAGCCAACAGCATGAAATGAGCTTTTTTTTTTAAACCAAAAACAATTATATTGTTGTTTCTCCACAGAAAGAATTATTTACATAGTTAAAGCGGCCCTACTCATCCAGCTGCTATTCTTAATCGCCGTTGGCTTTTTAATTTTTTTCCTGCACTATATTCTAACAGTTGCTTATTCTATATTTGCTTTGCCCCTGTCTTCCTCTTAATTAAAATCCACAGATATTGAAAATTTTATGTTTATTAGGAATAAAAATTCATAATTTTACAAAGAAACCTACCAGAAATAAAAAATAAAGTGGTGGTATACTTAAAAGTTTTTTAAAATTAACCCTTTTACTAATTTAGAAAGAAAACTAATTAATTAATTAATTAAAAATATATTCATAAGTGCTTACCATGGATTTTGGTATCTGTGGCTTAATTTATCAACAGCAGCTTGGCTTAGTTCTTCATACTGTAAAAGGAAGAAAATTAATGTACCCTTAATTCCAAGGTAAATAGACACTAACATGTCTAAGGGTCTACATTCCTAGTCAAAAAAGGACTCAGGGTGGAAAATAAAATAGGAAATGTTAAATTCGATTAAAAGAAGAAGGTTTTTTGATTCTTGAACTGAGAGAGAAAAGTACAACAAGTGAAATAAATGCGACCCTACGTACTTTACTTTCTATATAAAAGGCTCAGGTGTTGGGTAGCACTCCTTTCGTCTTTATGATTCTGTGTCTAAAGAAACAGGCATTTGAAACTACTATTTATCACTTAGACTCAAAGACTTTAGGTCTTTTCACTTTACCTTCACAGAATTAGAAAATGTGGTGGTGATAACATAGGAAAGAGCTGGATTATAGATAGCTATGGTAAAGTGTAGATCTAAAACCTCCTTTTGGAAAGCATAATTTAGAATACTGATGAAATATTTGGCAGCTGAGAACCAATACCCACATTAAAAAAAAAAAACCTCACAACTTCTCATGTACACTGAAATTAACTATTATCACTGAATTGGTGACCTCTATTTGCTGGCTCCTTTTCCCCAGGAAAAAGTCAATGGATGGCACATCTTATGAATAAGCATGGGGAATGAGCTTCAAATTTATACTGAAAACGGTTTTGGTCGGTAATCATTTCTCAGCTTTTCACACAAGGGTTGGGAAACAATGGTATGGATTATCAAAAGTATTTCCCTTCAGTTTTGGAATGCATTTTTTGCTTAAATTGATATGGGATGCTATATTCATAAAAAGTAACAGAATCATATTATGATAATTTCAACATCAGAGAAATTACTTGGTACTTTTTAAAAAATCCTTTTTTCTTCCTTTTCCCTTAAGTTTTTGTTTAGAATGGCTTTCATGATCAAGTACTTCAGAGTTACTTTTTTGGGAAAAGATCCATTTACTTAAGTAATATACTCAGGGGAGAGGATCTCAAAACTTAGTCATCTCTAGCTCTTTAATGTCCATGTATAGAATAAATAACCAAAGAATGTGACAAGATTTTAATGTAAGGTTGCCTCACTATTCCACACACACACAAAATGATAACTAATCATTTGTACATAATGGAAAGATCATAGTGTAATTTTGTTTCTTCCATTAATTTCTGACCTATTGATGCCCTGAAAACTGACATTATCAATTGACTTATAAATAATTTTTATTATCAGCTTCTGGACAGTTTTCCAGGAGTTGAATGATCTTCTTTTATCTTCATTCCCATTTTTAATAACCAAAAATTGCCTCCTCTTAATCTGGAAAGACTTTTCTTAAAAACAAAATAACAGATTCTTCTCTTCCCCCTCACTTCTATAAATATCAGTATATAACATCTCAAAACTTTTATTATCTAAAATAAGCTGGCCCTTCTCTATCGTAATTTATTAATTACACTTATTTTGACAGTCATGCTCACTGTGGTGTTAAAACTAGTGAAATTCAGAATCAAAAATATCATTTTTTCACTGGTCAGTTGTTCATAAAAGAAAAAAATTGATTCAAAAACTAATTAATCATCTTATAGAAACAGGTAACAACTGATTAGTATATTCTCCATATGAAAGAAAGCAGTGACAATCTCTTATAATTACAAAAGCAATAAAACTCAAAATTAAATATTTTCTATTAAGCAACCTTTCAAAAAGTCTAGGCATTAACAAAAGGGAAATATCTGCTAACTACATTTAGATACTGTGAATTAGAAACAATTTCTGAACGAGTTAAAAATTGTTAAATTTGACTTAAATTAATTGCGGACATTTGGGGCCTAGTCCAGTTAACATCATTGCTTAATACTTTCACTTTTAATCTTAAACCCCTTCTCATCTGACACACTTAGGAAATCTTTTTGGGATTGATCACTAAAGAATCCTTTTGCTTCGTTGCTATTTTTCACTCAAGATGTTTTTCTTCATATATCCAGTTTTGACTTCCCTTACTAGAAAGAACCATCTCTATAAGTATGAGATCTTTCTCACCAGTAGAATGAATACAATGGCAATGTATTTCAAGAATGCATAGACACTAGGGTTTCTCTTCTCCATCCTCCTCCTCGATAACATGGAGCTCTCAGTACCTAACATTTGAGTGGAAAATCCCCTAAGGCTGCCTTTTCTTATGCTAATGAATCTTTTCTACATTTGCCTCAATTTGCAAAATATTACTGTTAACCCCTTCGGTGTCTTTCTTCCCACAGCCCGTGAGAAGCGTTCTCATTGTTGTAGCTGGATCACCAAATTGCATAATGTTGCCTATTCTAGGCTGGAACTATTGAAGGGAGTAAGGGGGCATAAAGGCCTTTGTGTGAATGGAGCATTTGAAGTATTCATTTTATATTCAGAGCAGGAGTAGAAACAAAACAACCCTTTCTGGAAAATGTCAGTGTTTAAGGCATGAATTCTGTAGTGCATTTTTCTTATTAAAAAGCAAAAAAGAAAAAAGAACAGTGCAGAGACACATACTTCATTTTATACCACATTATATGTGGGCTTCAGTACCAATATGAATTATGTCCTGGTCTGTTTTTTTAACTGTGATATTTTTAAATAATTTGAAAAAGCACATCAACTCTCAGCAAGTAGACTAAACATTGGGTTTTATGAGTTTGTTGCCTATGGCCCCAGTAGCTCTGTTTTCTGTGGAGCATCCAAATAATGAGCAACATATTTCATCATGTTTTTAATGTGCTAATCATAATGTAATTCAGAAATCTATATAGGCAAGAAAATACAGTGTATATGACATTAATAATACTAAATCTCATTTATTGACTTATTCCACTAGATACTATGCTAAGTACTTTACATACACATCTCACTTAATTCATTTAACAATCTTCTAAGGTATTATTATTATTATTATCCCTGTGGTAGGCAGAATTCTAAGATGACCCCCAAGATTCTCACCCCTTGGTATACATACCTTCTCCTAGATATTTGACCAAATAATAATCTAGGTTCTGCTGTAAAGGGATTTTGTAGATGTAAATTAAGATCCCAAATCAGTTGAATTTAAGAAAGGGAGATAATGCTCAGTGGACCCCTTAAAAGGGGTGGGCTCTTAAAAGGAAGTGGGCTCTTACTGGCAAAGGGGATTTAAACCACAAGAAGGATTTCACATGAGGGAGATTTTCTGTTGCTGACTTTAAAGATGGATGGGGCCAGGTGGTGAGGAATGTGGGCAGCTTCTAGATGCAGAGAATGGCCCCGGTTAATGGCCAGAAAAAAAATGAGTACTCAGTCCTACAGCGACAAGTAACAGAAATCTGCCACAACCACATGAGCTTGGAAGGGCCCCCAAAGCTCAAATGAGATCACAGCCTCAGCCAGTACCTTGATTTAAGCCTAGTGAAACCTAAGCAGAAAATCCAGCCATACCTTTCCTGGACTTCCAACCTTCAGAACTGTGAGCGAATAACTAGGTATTGATTTAAGCTGCTAAATTTTGGTAATTTGCTATGCCAAATAGAGAACTAATACAACCCTCTTTTAATAGATGGTTAAACTGAGACATTATTAAAAAAAACAAAAACAAAAAAAACAGTAGGCAGACTAGCATGCAAAGAGAGAAAAGTGGGGAAATGAGAAGTTCTTCAACTGGCTACTTTCACTTGTAAATCACATTCAATTTTTCGTTAAGGCCACAAACATAGATTTGCTCTGAAAAGCATTGTGAATGCCAACTTGCCGCATTTATTCTTAGAGAAAAGGCAAATATTTCTTCTTTTCCCCCTGTACTTCTCCAAGGACATAAATATTTTCCTCATTTATTATGGATCATTATTATTCATAACACTATTCCTATAATTTAAGATACATTATGATTTTGTTTTAAAGCAAAATTAGAATTTACTCTGTTAGGAATTGTTAAGATTTTTGATGAGTAACCAATTATTTTGTTATGAGCCCTTTATTCAGAATTGGTTAATAATCCCCACTAGAGTCTGAAATCTGAGCAGATTCAACTATTTAAGCTACAAAAACGCTACACAACAGTTTCCCCGAGTCTCTATTTGTGCTCAGTGCATAGTTTCTAAAATATAATCAAGGCCTGTTTTGCAACTGTTCTCATCTTTAGAATTTTCTAATATGTTGGCAGTGTTGTTAAGACAAAGGTTAAGAATGTGCTTCTCTCAAGTTAATTGTCCAATTACCTTCACAGCACAGAATTACACTAGAGATATAGTTCAGGCATTGTGAGCAGTAATAGCAGAAATAAGTTTCTTTAAAAAAAAATAAGTGGTAAATAGTTTTCAAATGACTATTAAATAAGCTAAAAGTAGAATAATTCTCAATCTAATGCTCACTTAATTTATTTCTCCCCTTCAGCATCTTGCAACTAAGACACTGCATGAGAAAAGAAGCAATCTTAGTCTCCATCTCCCATATTTCTTGAGAATCATCTATGCCATGCTAAGCACTGGGAAGAGTGGGGTTGATCCTGTCAGTATAAAGTCAAGTAAAATAGATCTCAGATCTCAAGTTGCTTAAAGCCATTTGGAATGAGGCTGGGATTGGGCCGTCCAATTGCTCAGAGCAGTCACACTAAAATCTTCAACAATGCAAAGAAACTTTCCTATGAATGCTTCCCCAACTGAAGGAACTCACATGAATTCCTACAGCACTTATTTTCAGTGCCATTTTCTTTGTGCCCAGAGACATAGCTGGGATGACATTGAAAGGACCTCCTATATCTAATAAAGTGTTTTCAATTTGCTCAACTAAGATTTCTTGATCTCCTAGTTTCAATCCTGGGGAAAGAATAGATACCTCCAGATTGCTAGTCTCCTTTGCTGTACAATCGATGCATTTTTGTCAACACAGCCTGAGGTTCTCTGTGAGTGCTGTATATAAATAGTAAGGGAAAATTATAATCCTAAATTTATAATGATTTTAGAATTTTCCCCAAAGATCTTAAAAAGCCAGGATAAATGTCAGATTTAGATGTTCTGGTATTTTAG